CCCCCAGCCAGCCAGCCGACCTCGTTCAGCGCTGAATGCCTGAGCCTGCCCGGTCTTCGGCCCTTTGCCTTTTCTGCTGTTGCCACTGCTTGACGCTAGTCTCAGTAAGTTCAGAATAGGGAGAAATCCCGAGTTTCACTCCTTTTGTTTGATTTACTCTGTTACTTTCTAACAGTTGAATGAAATTGGGTTTTGGAATACCTGTGACTTTGTATGTCTCTGGCTAGCCTTGGTGTCATTTTCTAGCAATAACTCAGAGCCAGTTAACTTTTTAATTTCATACATTTAACCAGTCTCTTTAGGTGTTTCTGAAGGTAAGATCGTTTAGTTTGACTTTCTTATACGTGAGAGCCGATATTCGTAGAACCAGCACCGAGCAGATGTGCGGTCGGCGCCGTCCCCCCCACCCGCTCTTGTGGGAAGTGAGCATAGATCGCGCACCGCAGCTTCCCTCGTGTGGCGCCGGCTCCCTAGCGAATGGCGTGTGGGCAGAAGTGGAATGGTGCTCTTCTTACCTTTACTTTTAAAAACCAGTTTTATGATTCTGTTCCTCAGTCCGGACCCAGGCTACCTGGAAGGCAGCGCCCCCTTTTTTATATGGAAGAAAAGTGATTATGTTTTTATATTTTCTACTTTTTCATTTTATCGATGCACACTTAAAGATTTTGATTTTCTTTTAATAGATGCAGTCTTTTGAGATAATTTGTTTTTACCTTTTGCCCTTTTATCTTTTTTGGATAATTCTCTTTGTACTCCTGCTGCCTACCTCTGGTCACCTCCCACCACTTTTTTAAACCTTGGTATCTGTTGGGTAAACTAATCTTTGCATCTGCTTTTAGAATGTGAGATATTTCCAGTACCTACTTTTTTGCTGAATCCAAAGATATATAAATATAAATATATATTTTATAAAGATCAAAATGATATAAAGGAGACACGTTTCTTCCTTTAAAAAAATAGGAATTCATTGTTAATGTTCATATTATGATGCTACTTTTCTAAATTGTGCATCTTGATGGAATGGTGTAAATATCAATCCAGGACTGCTTAATCATTATTTAATGTCTAAGGTGAGTCGGGCTGTGTAGGGGTAGGTGTTACAGAACATAATTGACTTGCTGTCCTAGGAGCTTTGGTCTGGAAGTAGATGCAGCCGGGGAGTAGACAGAATGGACTGCCAGTTCCCCGATACCTATCCCAGTTCTCTCTTTATTTGCAGAAGCCATGAGTTTTGTTGACAAGTGGGAAGTTCATAGTTGTAAAACCTTAAAGATAGGTGTATTCCCCCTGCTGCGGAGAAGAGCTGCTGTTCAGCTAACAGCAGATGTTTAATAATGAGCAGGGTGTTTTCTCTCCAGTGTGTAGAATTTCGAAGTGAATGAAAATGTCATTCTGAGAGCAATATTTAAATTCTCAGGAATTGACTTACAGTATTGAGAATGAATTCAGTTTCAATCAAGTTTACATTAAATGTTGCTTAAAATCTAAATCATTCTTTATAATGCAAAGAATCCAAATCAGGTGGGATAACTTATGAGTTGGTTGGGTGTAAGCTATGACTGCTTTGCTGATCGCTTTGGATGTCATTGTAAATAAAGGTTTCTATTTAAAACTGACGACTAAGAGCGTGCCTTTTTTAAAATACAAACCCCTAGTAGGTGAAGGGTGAAAGAAAGGCTAATAAGCAAGTCTGTTTCAAATACTGACAGCATTTTCAGTGGTTATAAGAAGACTTACTCGAGGCGGCTTTGGGATGTTGGAGCGCAGACCTGTCTGTCCTGTGGAGCAGCGCTCGGTGTTGCCTTCGGCTGTGTCAACCAGGGTGGCGCTCAGCTGGCTCCTGCTTCTCCCATTCTGGAAGTCTGACGGCTATCTTTACAAGGTTAGACCACTGGCTTGCCAAAGGGTTGACTTGGTTGAGGTGAATTGTTTTGCAGTTGATTAGAACTTCACTTTTTGAGGAATTTAGCGTTCGTTAGTGGACTGTGAGACTTACCTGTGTGGTCCCTGAAGCGTGGTCTCTCTCCCTCCCTTTAAAGAACCCCCTAAACCAAGGCATGTGCTTTCAAAAAGAAGGTATTGACTGGTAGCTTTAAAAAAACAAAACAAAAAACCAAACACACCAAAAGACTCCCAAGAATGGCCTTTTACAAAATGTCAAGTTACCTCATACCAACTGCTGGCCATTGGCTGCGGTTTTGAACATTGTATGACAATAAACTACAAAATTTCTTTACAAATACGATTTTGTTAAAACTTGGAACATACATCAACTTCATTTCTTTTCAGTACTTTAAAAAACATCAGGTCTGGAACAGGTAACAGGAATACTGGGGAGGCGATAGCCGCACGGGAACAGAAATGGCCACAACGGCACGGGGTTTTCTTTCACACTGGCCACGGAGCATTGTGGACACCACCACGCTTGAAAACTGGGCTTTCCTATTAGTCAGTCCCCCTAAGAGTCCCCACGCTGGTTCCACGGAAATAGTCACGTATATACAGTGGGGTGCAGAGCCACGGAGAGGCGCCTCTGTGCTGCTCTGCGTGGTCCTTCGTGATGAGCCACAGATTACAATTTAAAACAGGACTGTTTTCCCCTATGATTAAAAAAAAATTCCAGTGACTTTCACCCTCTGGGGAGATTTCCAAGAGTTTTTATCTCGTGTGAGCCTCTGGGACGTTAGTGGTGACTTGGGTATGAAGATGCCTTTTGTGCAGCTGGTGAAGTATAATCCAAAGCGAAAGCAGGGGCAAAATGAACTTGCGTGAGTGTCACCACTACTGATGGTTCTCGTCCAGAATCTGCCGCGTTGCCGGAAGCTGGCTGTTTGCGCAGACGTCCTGGCTAGCACGTAGTAGGCCTGTTTGGCGGGGCCATCGCAGCGTCTCGTCGCCTGTGCAGTCAGACGGTGCCGGGGTGGGAGGGCCGCCTCGTGCTCCTAGCCTTCCCAGCCTTCCCACAGCTGTCCCCTGGAACAGAGCAGACCCCCTCAGTGTTTGCCATGTGCCTAGACTGCGACTCGCAGGTCACCCAGGAAGGACTGGCACCGCCCAACAGCTGGATTTCCACGTGTTTGCTTAACACGCCCAGTTAACGTTTAAAGATCATGGGCCTTTGTTCAGGGCGCGCCCAAGAAATGCTTAGCTGGCTCGCTGTCCTGTTAAAGCCGCATGGGTTCATGTGGGTTTACATGCACCTATGCAGAGAGAGGACAGAGTGGCCAGCGACTGCAGGTCCTGCTCACGGGTGGGGTCTGTGCACCTGCCAGGTGGCGTCAGATTAGTTGCCACTGTTCAAACCTGTCTCCAGGCTCTGGTTTTCCGACACCTTGATATTGAGGATTCAGCAAGACAAACTGTATCCCCACTCATGTGGCGCCCTACACTGGTGGCCCACCCCGGCTGCTGGGGAGCAGCTTGGATGTTTCCAACACCCGCGAGCAAGGCTGGCCTGCGGCTCTGTGCTGAGTAGCCATCCACAGCCGCCATGTAGCGAAATGCCCCTCCGCCTCTCAGGAACACCTGGAGTCTACCCAGCACCACTACTGCCTAACAGCCGTGTGTGATTCCATGGGACTGGCCGCCTCTGGGTTAGGGACACACAGGACACATGCTAGGAACTGGCATGCACACAGGACAGCCTGGCAAGACAAGCAAGCAGGAGCCAGGTCTACACTTAGCTGGCTCCTCAACTCACAGTGATTTGGAAGAAGGTCTCTTCATTTCTGGCCACTTTCGACGCTGAAACTGCCTAAGTTTTCAGGTGTCAAAAGGAGAATGAGTGTTAACCATCACCGAGAGAGAAGGAGCTGACCCCAAAGATCTACACAAAGGAGGTCTCTTGGGGAACAGGCCCGTGGCAGAGCCGAAGAAGGGCTGGGTCTCCCTGGACACAGGCAGCCTCGGTTTAGACTAGAGTGGGGCCGAGACACGGGACCCGCCTCAGGTCTTAAAGACAAAACCGGTACCTGTATTGCTCGTAGCTTCCTCCATCTTTAAGTCCTAAAAGAGAGAGGAAGCGGATGGTTTAGGGTCAGAATGGCACAGAGACAAACTCTCCACCTTCCCGTTTGCCTTCTTGAAAGACACTCGTCAGCTTTTAAAACCTTTGTTGATAGTGGGTCTGAGCTGAGCTTTTCCTAGCGCCCCTAGGTGGCCTGGTCTGCAGGGTCAGGACCTGATGGAGTCATTCAACACTGGCTTTGTGGAGGAGGTGGGGATGGCACAAACCCGAGCAGCAGCTGGCCCGGCCCTGAGGCGGGCAGGGCAGAGGGGAGCGCCCACGTCCAGACGCCTGGCGGTTCTCCTGGCACAGGCTGTGGAGGTGCCCGCTTGCCTGCGCTGCCCGGGGCTGGTGCCCGGAGGACTCTGCTGCTTGGGCCTGTACGATGCCCGCAGCTGTGGGAGTTGTTGTCTCGGGCCCGGTGACGAGTCTCCTGTGCAAGCCGTGTTTCTGCGGCCCTGTAAAGCGCTCGCTGTTTGTGACCAGCTGACGACAGCATCTCGATGATTCTTGAACTGCACCTCCCTTCTCCCAAGACGAGGTCTGGCTGTCCGAGACAGACCAGCACTCTTCAAGGCCCTTCGTACCCCCAGGATGTGGACTGCTCTCTGTGCGTGTTTTGGGCTAGTAAGTAGCTTCTGTTAGCTTTGGAAGACAGTAGCTAACCGGCACCCTAAACTTAAGCAGAATTTCTGACTGCCTGTGTCACACAAACGCTGTCGGCTGACTCCTAGCTGTGGCTTGGCTTCCCCACCTGAAGCAGCATCGCTGATTACACTGCTACCACGCGTCCCCCCAGGCAAGGACTGTGTTCCCCACTCCCTCCATCTCCACGTGGCGCCTCCTCACTCCCCAGCCTGAAGCGCTCTCCCTGGCCGCCAGAGCCCCTCCCAGGATGAACAGCTGCCACCAGGCCCTGCCACCACCCTCTTCGCTCTGGCTGCAGCCTTTCTGAAAGAGTCCCCACCCCAGGTCTCTACGGCTTCCCCCCACCTTTTCTCAGTGGTTGACTCCTGCTGCCTTGTCAGGACTCGGTTCCAAGTTACTTCCCCACCCCCACCCCGTCACATCCTGTTTTGTTCAGACAAGCAAGAGAGACTTGATCCTAGTTGTGTTAGCCTCTCGCGTGGTCAGGCGGAATGTGCACTTTTGATATAATCCCAGGTTTAAGTTCGCAACAAATGTTTGTGCAATGAATAAATGAACAACAGGGAGAATGACAGAACCCCATGTGTTCTCCGCCCATGGCTCGGCCCTGCTGAGGAAGCGCAGCCTGTGGAAAGCCCACTGCTGCCTAGCCCGGGGGGTGGGGGAGGCTGCAAAGGGGCCTCCACTGACTGGTCTTAAGTCATCCCACCCCCAGCTCCTGGCGATTCCAGGTTCATGCTTCAGGCTGGACATGACTTCCTGTGGTGACCCCGCTTTCGGCAGGCCCTGTGTTGGGGCACCCACTCACCCAGGTCCACGTTTCGAGTCCGGGGGTTACACTGCTTGTAGCCCTTGCAGCTCCTCAGCTCCATGAGCTGTACGTGCAGCTGGTTGAGCACATCCCTGTCCAGCGTATTCACCGCGTTCATCAGCTGGTTGGGAAGGTGGTGGTCAGTGGCTGTGTGGGCCTCTCCCCAGCCTCTTCTACAACTAGGGGCTAATCTCAGGCGAGTCAGGGGAGAGAAAGAAAGCAGCAAGGACGGTGTCCTGCTCATGCCAGCCTCTAGCAAAGCCTGAACGGGAATCTTGGGGCCATGCTTTGCTCCCAGGACCCCAGGTCCTCGAGTCAGACCCACCTGGGGCTTCACCCGGGGCCCTTCTGAGCGCAGTTCTGAGTGCCTGTGCTTGTACCGCCTCATTCTCAGAGGGCAGCACCAGCCGAGCGGAGAGCGCCGGGCAGGTGACCTGGTCCTCCCTAGTGCAGGAGCCGCCCCGACCCACTGACCACAACCTCCGCTGCCACCCCTGTTCTAAAACGGGCTGACCTACTTAAGGACAAAGACGGGCTGCTGGCAACTCCAGAGTTCAGGGGCAAAACATCAGACTCTTGGGTGCCGGGGACCAGGCTGTCCCAGGGCGCCCCACTGCCGCCCTGAGGCCTCTGGCTCAGGAAGGACTCACGTCGGCCGCCAGACTGGCTCCTCTCGCCTTAGGTGACGCGTGTGCACGTGAGTGAACAAGCAGAAGCAGGGAGCAAAGCTGGGCAAGTGGCAGCCTTGCCCCTTACAGTGTGCTCCCCACCTGGGGCCCCAGAGCCCACAGCTGAGTCTCCCCAAGTTCCTGCAGAGCCTGCGCAAATGCTGCATTTCGGGTGAGGGAGGCCGAGACAGGCACCTGGCGTCCAGCCCTTGTGTCTTGGGACCCACGTGCTGGGGGCGCCGGTTCTCCCTGGGGCACCGCGGTGCCAGCCCGTGCCGAGGGTGGTGGGGGTGGGGCGCTCCTCACCTGGTAGGGATCTGTGTTGAGGTCGAAGTACTCCAGGAAGCCGGTTGCAAATTCACAGAAGAGGAAGTTGTGGGTCTCATTGATGGTCCTCATGCACCAGTACGTGTTGTTGTTGGCGCTGGTGCAGGCACAGAAGGGCCCCACTGCGGAGGGGCGGCCCTGAGCAGCGCCCGCGGGCCCGCCCACCCCGTTCCCTCCCTCGGGCGCTCGTGACCCCCCCTGTTCCCGACGGGCACTCACGGGTCCAGAGCGGCGCCGTCTGCCAGTGCTGGTTGTCGTGGGTGAAGCACGTGAGGCCCGGCATGCTGCACGTGTCGTTGTTCTGCAGGCGCTTGAGCAGCTTGCGCAGCTTCTTCTTGCGCTTCTGCTCCCGCAGCAGCCACACCTTGTCCTTCTCCTGCAGCCCCTTCCTAGGGCACACGGGGCACACCCCTCACACCTCCCTCGGGTCCCCACCAGGCCTCCCAGCGATTGATGACCCTAAACCTGGGCTCCTGCCCGGCTGCGTGCACGCAGCAAGGTGGGGTGGTGGGAGAAGGTGCTCGCCGCGCCCCCTACTGGGCGCAGACAGCCCTGCAGCTCCCGCTCCCCGCGCAGCGCAAGCGGCGGCCGGGCTCTGGCTCTCTTGCCGCCTAGGTGACGCCAAGACGGCTCAGGGCAGCCCTGGAGTCAGACCCTGACGGGCCCGGCCCGGCTTTCCTTTTCTTTCTGGGTTGGGGCAGCTCCGCCCAGGGCCTCCCTCTCCCTGGCTCTCGCTGCCCTTACCTGAAAGGGTGCAGGCTGGAGCCCTTGTGCTTGAGGCGGCCTTTGTGCTGGGTGTGGTAGCTGCAACAGACCCCAACCCCATCTCAGGGCGACCTGGTCAGTGGGAGCCAGGGTGCCTCTGCGGCCTTGTGGGGTGGCGCCCAGCACAGAGCCTCCTGGCTCCCAGCGGGAGCTGGGAGAAGCCTCAGGTCCTGGCAACGTGAGTCATGAAGGCTGAGGCTGGGCCTGGCCCTGTCTGCCTCAGACTTGCCAGGCTGCTCCCCCTGGCCCTGCCAGGGCTCAGGGCTCAGGGCCAGCAGCAGGGTCCCCCATATCTCATCCCTTTCGGGGAAGGGGGCAGACTGTGTGCTGTCCAGTCCCACCCCCCAGTAGCTATGTAGGGAGAGTTCAGCTTAAATGCAATTGCAGGTTCAATGCTCCGTTCACACCGGCCACCCTTCCAGTGCTCCCACGGGGGGTGCCCTGCTGGGCACAGGGGTACCGCCGGCCAGCGGCCCCTGACAGGGCTGCCCTGCGGGACCTTTGGAGTGATAGCACCTGTGCCCCTAGAGGTGCAGTGTGGCCGGGCACCACCACTGGGACTTTCTGCTGACCTCTCTGTAATCCAACCCTGATGGGGGAGAGAGGGGGTGCCTTGTCCTTAGGGGAGCTTCCGCAGGAGCACCGGGGCCTCCTTGGGGACCCTGCTGCCTCTAACCTGATTTTGTGGCAGTCACATTCTTCTGGTCGCTTTTTCTTCAGGTGACCTCGCACTTCTCGCAGGTTCTTAATTTTGTTCTGCAGAGTTTCAATCTGAGAGGAGGAAGAGGAGCAGACGGAAACTCTGAGGCCTGCCTGGTGGCCGTCCTGTTCCCGGCCCTGCTCTTTTGCTCAGTGGCAGCGCAACCTGTCTCTGGGGGCCTGGGCTAACCCTGCTGAGGCTGCTAGGCTTCAGGGAAGGACCCTGGCCATTCTCGTCCTGTCCCGCCCCAGAGCCAGCCTGGCCCCGGGGGGACAGCATCCCATCGGGTGACTAAGCATGGTTTGAGGCGACTGCGGTCCTCCTCCTGGCTTCCTCGGGAAGCCTGACGGAGCACTGAGGCCCCGTCCACGTGGAGGGTCCAGGCCTCAGCGCCCTCCCAGTGGCCGGTGCCCAGGACCTGCTCCCTGCCAGCCCTACCTCGTGGTCGATGTGCAGCTTGTGGTCCTTCCAGGCCTGCAGGGACCTGTACAGGTCCAGGTCACACTGGACTGTGTCGTTCTCCAGGATGTAGCACCTGTTTGAGAAGAAGACCACATGTGGCCCTGAGGGACACCAGCCAGCAGCGTGGGGCCTGCCATACCCGACCTGGGCTGCTCACCTATGTGTCACTTTAATGGGGTTGGGGGCGGAGTAGTCCGGCAGCCCCCCAGTGCCACTGAAGTCCCCACCGTCCTTGTCATCTTGGTCCTCGGGGGCCCCTGGCCAGTGCCGCTTGCTAAGGTTGCGAAGCTGGAAGGCGGTGTCCAGGCTGATGTGGTGTACCTCGCCGCCCACCTGGACGGCCACCGAGCGGACGGCGCGGCTGCGGGCGTAGCTGGCCTTGTACTCTGTGGCGGAGGGCGCTGGGTGAGGAGGCTGGGAGGGCCGGCCCGGCGCAGCGGGCAGCAGTGCCCTGGGCTCAGGCTGCCTGCCCCAGCAGGCAGGCCCGCAAGGCGCGTGGCCAAGGAACTGGCTTGGGATCACGTCAAGAAAGAGCTACAGGGGGAGAGATTCGCGGTGCCCGGCAGCCTCACCGGCCACAGAGGAAGGAGGCCGGGACTCGCTGCCTCATGGGTGCAGGCTGAGGGCAGCCGGGCCTGGGTCACAGCGACCCGCTGACATGAAACAGCCCACGGAGGGGTGGCAGGGCCGGCCTCATGGGCATGGGCTTCCTTGTGGGGCGACACAGTGCTTTAGCTCTAGAGAGATGGCAGCTGTACCCCGCCATGAAGTGCTTCTGCGTGGCATTCATTCCCCAAACTTGTGCCTGGGAATCTCCATTCAATCAAATGAAGAAAGGAACGTGGACATTACGACACTGACTCCCATGCTGACCTGACTGGAAGAGAGCGCGGCCCAGCGGTGCCAGGGCGGGCACCTCGTCTGGACTGAGCCTTGCCATGCTGAGGCCCCGGCCCCGCCCAGCCCCCCGAGCCCCTGCCCGGCCCCACACCCCGGGCGACCCGACGGCCAGCGTCTGTGCCACACCCACTCCGGCCCGCCACTCACTCTTTTTGAAGACCTTCTTCCGGCGCCCGGCCAGGCTGAGCTTGTGGCCCCCGGGGCAGGAGCAGGCCTCGCCGCCCGGCCGGTAGGACTCGGGCACCAGGTTGGAGACGGCCCTGCTGCCCGGCCGCGCCAGGCCCTTGCACTTGTGCAGCTTCAGCGTCCCCGCGGCGTCCTCCACGCACTGCCACTTCTGTGGGGCACATTCGGCTCAGGCCTGCCGGCCCGCCGGCCCCCCACCCGGCCGTGCTGGGACCCGGCTCCCAGGAGCTCTGTCCCTGGGGCAATCTGGCCAGTGCAGAAGCCCCCCCCCCCCCCCCCCAAGTCCTGGAGCTGCCAGCAGAGCCAAGGCAGAGGGAGACCAGTGGGGGCACCGTCAGACTAGACCCCAACCCCCCCCCCCCCCGTGCTCCGGGCCTGAGTGTTAAGGGGTACACTCCCACCATCTGCTTGGAAAGTGCTGGTCCTGCCCAGCCCCCAGGCTGCACCAGGGGAGATGTGCAGACGGGCCCCTGGGCGCCGTCCGGGGGCAGAGACCCCTGGCCTCAACTAAATTCCAGACTCTTGGGGGTCGGTATAAACACGGACCCAGTTCTCCCACACATCAGCCCTGAAGGGAGGGGCTTTTTAACAAAGGGGTCCAAGACTGTCCTCCCAGTGCCCAGATGGGATGCAGTGGAGCACAGAGCCAGGCCGACAGGCGGGGACCACTTCTGAGTCCAGTGGGTGCAGCCCATCCCCGACTGGGTGTGCCCCACACTAGCAGCCCGAAGCTGTAGCTGAGAAGGGGTTCGGGGGCCCTGGCCCTGCCTCCTGCTTAATCTTAAGCTGACGCAGGCTGGATCTTCAGGCCTGAGCCCCTGCGGATGAGGGCAGCCGCAGCCCAAGGCAAGGCTGGTGCTCCCTGCAGCCCTCAGGCCGCCTCGCGGGTCTCTCTTCTCCAGGCCCCGTCCCCGCCCTGGGGCCTCCAGGCTCAGGTCGGACATGCCCAGACACCACTTGTGGGTTTTGCCTCACTCAGCACTAGCTGGGTTATAGTTCCTTATTCTCGCTCATGAAATCAACTTCATTCTTTCAAGGCTTAAATGTACTTTAAAAAGGCAATTCCCGGCCCTCCCTGGTGGAACAGCGGGTTAAAGCGCAGCACTAAGAAGCACTTTAGAAGCTAAAGCCACTTCAGTGCGAGTTTGATCCCCGCCCCGGAGGTGACCCCATGGCGTGTCAGACCTCTCCTGACCCGCCCGCTGCTCCCCTCAGCAGTGTACTTCGTCGATCTGCCTGTTCTGCTCCCCACTCTGTCTCTGGTGAAGCCTCTCACCGCCCCTGCGCCTCTGGCCTGTACCCAGTTCTGTATGCACAAATAAATAAATCTTTAAAAAAAAAAAAGGCAATTCCCTATTACTCCTGTGAGGGGCACAGGGCCCCAAGGGGATCTCACGAAAGCGAGTAAACGAGAAGCAAGCCCGTGAGCCCCTGGGAGCCTAGACAGGAGCCAGAAAGAGCCTTCCGGGAGGCGCAGCACCCACGGCACCCGCCTCACCTGCCCCAGCTGCTCGCAGGCCGTCTGGTACTCGGCGCGCTGGCACAGGTCCTTCACACGCTGGTGCCTGGGCAGGACGTTCTCCTCCTGGGCCTCCGCCTTGTCACCGTCCCTCCTGTGCAGCAGCTTTCTGTGGGGCGGCAGGGCAAAGGCAGCTCTCAGCGTGGGGGGCAAGCCCTGGCTGAGGGGGCCCCGGCCTGGGCTGGGGCCGCAAGGGAGGACACAGCCTGGGGGATCTGACGCTGACGCCCACAGTTGCGTGAGTGGCAATAAACCAAGCAGCTGCCAGGAGGGGCTCTGGGCAGGCCGGACAGATGTGCCTGGAGGGCCACGCGGCTCTGGACGCCACGTGGCAGCGCCTGGGAGCCAGCGGTCTGTCACAAGACCAGGGGAGCGGCCTTCTCCCTGCGGCTTAACACCGAGGGCGTGGGGGGACGGCCAGGAGCTGGGGTGCCTGCTGTGCCCCGCTCAAGCCCAGGGCCCTTACCCTCTCTCCACCAGGAAGGAGTCCCGCCAGACCCTGATCTTCTTTTTCAAGTGAAACCTAGGGAGAGAAAAAGCACACCCCATGCTCTCACATGCCCCCCCGTCTCCCAGAAGCAGGAGGTCGGAGCCCGCTTCGGCTGACAGTTAGCAGACTGACAGGCCGGAGCGGTGGGTCAGGGGCCTGGAAGGGGTGTGAGCCACGTCCACTCAGCCCGTCAGTCCCAGGCAGCCTCCCTCCTTGGCCTAGAGGCCTCCTCTGGACTTCAGGTTCCCTGTGTTGGGCTTGCACGACTCTCTCCCTTTGGGGCACTGCAGTGCCCCTGCCACGCTACGGCTCACTATGGCTCCAATTCGCAGCCTGGGGCTCAGGCTGAGAGAGGAAGCCTCCCTCCTGCACCCAGACTTCGGGCTGTCCTGGCTCCCAACCTGGTGGGGGTTCATGGAGGTGGTGCCCCAGGACCGCCTGAGCCGGGAGGGTACAAGCTGGAGGTGCTAATCGCCTCAGGGGTGGTCTAACCCTCAGGGGCGATTCCAGGGTTGGCCACCAGGTGTCGCTGCAGCCGCGCGCGTGGCGCCGGCCGGTCCCTCCCAGTCCAGATCACCATCCCAGCTCAGTTTTGCCTGCAGGACGCCCGGGATTGTCTTCCCTTGACACCCTTGGGTGCTCAGCCATGAAGCATGATGGCGGATTCAAAGTGCAGCCTCCAGGCTAGTGCTGAATGCCAGAAAGCGCCCAGAGACCAACAGGTCAGGCGACCCCCCAGCCGGGCTCTCCAACTTGGCCTAAGGGGAGCCCAAGGATGGCTGTCCTGAAGACCAAAGCCCTGCAACGTGTGGGGCGCCAGCGCCGGCCACGCCAGCGCCGGCCACGCCAGAGCCGCACGTGGCTGTTAAGGGTGATGTAGTTCCAGAGGGAAGATGGAGTCTCGAGGGGACACATCCTTCTTCCCTACAGCAGGTAAATGACTGGTGTGGGGACCCCACGCCTGACTCGTGGAGACTCTGCCTTCTGAGGCCCGCGTGGTCTGGCCTAAGTTCAGGAGGCTTGGGGAGTCTGGCACCCCACCTCCCCGCCCCTCCTCACCGATTCACCGGCCGCTCCGTGTCCAGCAGCTTGAGGATGGATTTCCCATCCATGTCTGAGGGGATGTCCAGACCAGCAATGTCCAGGATAGTGGGGGCCAGGTCGATGTTGAGGACGATGTGGGGGTTCCTGGGGAGGCGGGGAGACCAGGGACTCCATGAGAGGGGAAGCTGGAGGTGCCAGGGGTTGATGCCCTGAAGGTGGGGCTGCTCTCCTGCACTAAGGCCCCACTGGGCCTCCTCTGGGCCCCACTCAATTCCACTGCTCTCCTTCACCCCCAAATTTTGTGCCCTCCAGACACATCATGGGGCACCAGACTCGCCGGCCCTACCTGGCCTCTGGCTTGCCTGCCGTCTTGCGCCAGGAGTGCCCTCCCTGCCCATTACCCAAAGGACACCTACCTGTAAGGGCCGCCCCAAATCCCAGGACCCTTCTCTGGCCTCTGGGGTTGAGGGCCACTGATCCTTTGCTGTTCTGAGACCAGACAGTCTGGCCGTCGCCCCTGCTGCCTGGAATGCCAGCGTGGCACTCTCCCTCAACGCCTCAGGAGGCTGGAGAGCCCCACCCTTGTGTCCACACCCCAGTGGGGGTCCCCTCCCCTTCGGGTGGACCAGCCCATAAAACATGGCCTGTCCCTCGTGGCTGTTACGTGACATGTGACCCCACCTTCCGACTGTGTCCCTGGCCGCGGCCCCCGGCAGGCCACTGCGTGGCTATCCCAGAGGTGGCTCTGTGAGCCCAAAGCCTCTCCCGGGCTTGATCATCTGTGGGTGGGAAGGACCTTGGCCAATCGAGCCTCAGAAGAGGCACAGCCTGGGCAGGCACCTTGATTTCAGTCTGGGCTGGGCCAAGCTTTAACCCCCGGAAACTAAGTTTGCAGTGACTTTAAGGCAGCACAGCGCGACAGCCCCTTCCGAGGGCCCCTTGGCACTCAGTCCCGGTGTTCTGCTCTCTCCTGCTCCTCCGGTTCACAGCGTATTTTCTGGCAAAGGACAATCTAAGAGGGAGGTCCTGTCACATCCCAGCACTTTTATACTTGGAGCGCACAGTAGGTGCTTCACGTTAGCTAAGTGGCTTGGCAACTTGTCTCTACTGTCCAGTCGTCAGCGGTCTTCTGCTTCTACCAAGTGAGGTGGGGGCCCAGCATAAAGGATGGCCCAGGGGACTCCCCACCAGGCGGCTCAGCGCCTGTGTGCCCTGGGGCTTTAACCTCTCTGGGCTCCTGCTGCCCAGCTCAGCACCTGTGAACTTCAGCAAGCAGAAGTTACGCTGGGGAGGGTCTTGAAGGGGAAGGCTGGAGCATCAGCTGGCAGCTGTGGCGGGGGCACTGGAGATGAATTTTGGGGACACAGTGAGCAGCTGGTGACCTAACCTTGCCCGGCAGTCCTGCTCCCCCGGGCTGGCTGAGAAGGACGGGGTTGTTTTTCCGATCTCGCACCCAGACCGGCTTCTAGTTCTGCAGGCAGGCCCTCGGGGCCCACCATCTGATCAGCCAAGGTTTGCCCTCACTCCTGGCTGTAGCGATGAGCAAGGATGGCCCGTGAGTCAATCCCAGGGCTTCTCTCAAGCCACATTTGACTTCCAACATTGGAGGCTGAAAGTCTGCCACCATGAGAGCAAAGCCTGCTTGGGAAGGAAGCCGATGCAAGGAACAGGGCCGGAGAGGGAGACAAGACGTCCTCAGGTAACTGCTGGATCCAGCCACGCCTGAAGCCCGTCAGCCTCCGACTTTCAAGTGCCTTATCCATTTTGAGACTAATCTCTGCTTGCAACTAGAGGAGTCCTGGCCGAGCCAGTCTGCATCTTCAGCCCCAAGCCTGACATCAGCCTCTCTCTCGTGTTCGTGAAGTGTGTTTACGAGACATTTCACAGCCTCCAGGGCTGACGAGACACACAAGGTCTGTGCTTGCAGAGCCCTTGGGGGGTCAAATTCTGTTCGCGGGGTGACTCGAGGTTTCGGAGGGGCAGTGTGGCTGGCAGACAGGAGCGAGACCACCTGGCTTCAGCCCCCAGCCTTCCCGAGGGACCGTGGGTTCAGGCAGCGTCCCGCCTCTGTGCCTGGCTGTCATCAGTGCTGTCTACAGCAGGAACAGCAGCAGCTTCTCTCACAGGGTTGCAGCGAGGCTGAGATACTTGGACATAAAGGGTGTGGCGGTAGGTGGCAGCCGTTTTCATTCTGTCATTCCAGCCGCTAGTCCCGGGGCGGGGGGCTGCGAGCCCAAGGCCCGGAGTTGTTCGATGAAGTCACGGGCAGGGCTGGCGAGGCTGGCCTGGGACGCACCTGCCTCCCAGGTTTTCCACTGACCCTCCGAGTAGGGGTGGGACCAGCTCGGGCCCCAGAGGCCACCCCGGTGCCCTTCAAGAGGAGGCCGGTATCGGTCTAGGCTCAGACGCAAGTGGGACCAAATAAACCTCGTAATGGAGATTTATCCACATTCACAAAACCGCGCGAGCTGGGCTCTGTTGTGCCCGTTAACCTAGGAGTGACCCCCGGACACTCTACCCTCTCTCTGCCCCAGAGGCAGCTTTTTTGGCTGTCAGATGTGCCAGCCCAAAGGTGAACCCAGGGAGGCTGCTGGCCGAGGCTGTGGCCCGTAGCCCTGAAGGAGGCCGGAGGGTACAGCTTCCTCCCTGTCAGTGCCAGAGCCGAGGGCCACGTGGGGAAGCACCTGCAGCAGCCTGCGCCCCATGGGTTGGCAGGGGCCCCTGAGTGTCCTTGCAAGTGCTGAGGCCTCCAGGCTCCCTCCTGACAGAGAACCCACTGGGCGGCTGACCCACCACACCCCTGCCCAGGGAGAGCTCGGGGACCTGCCTGCCGGTGGTCCTGGGGGCCTCCCGGGAACTTGGGGCTCCTGTGTGTGGTTGATGTACTTACAGAGAGCCAGCCTCCACGTTGGGGCCCCTCACGTAGAAGGGCACCCTGATGTCGAACTCGTAGGGCATGGACTTCCCCTTCACCAGCCCAAACTGGCCGATGTGGTAGCCGTGGTCAGCTGTGTACACGATGTAGGTGTTGTCCAGCTCGCCCGTCTCCACCAGCATGTTGTAGATCTGCAAGAGGTCGCAGTTGGCGCAGGGGCACAGCAATGGGCACCAGGGCCTGCTCGGCCCTCAGCGGGGTCAGGTGCCTGTGCACTTGCCCCCTCTGCCGGTCCCCCCTACCCTGCTCCAGGGCCACCTGCCCACCGACCCGTCGTCTTCCTTCCTGGCCGTCTCCCTCCCATCTCTTCCACTTATTTGGGGCTGTCTTGCTGCATGAGGGCGTCGTGAGAGCCCTGGGGGAGAGCATGGCCATTCTGTCCTGGCACTGGCATCGTGACACGGGAGGGAGGCAGGGAGGGCCCAGGCTGAGGCTGCAGCCAGCCGGCCACCACCTCGGTCTGCGCTGTGTGTAATGTGCTGTCAGTGTCTTATATTTTAATTTATGTAAATTCAAATAGCGGCGGACGAATACAGCCCGTGACTGCAACCACCCACGAGCGGACTATTTAGCCGTGGAAGAAAGGGAGAGTTAGTACAGCCACCGCGGAATGGGCCTCGGGAAGTCCAGGGTCACGGCGTCTGAATCGGGCGGCACAGCGGGTCCTGGGACACGGAGTGGCAGCCCCGGGGCAAGGGGGCAGGTCTGGGGGCGCTAAGGGCGGCGGGTAAAAGAGGAGCAGCACCGGCTGTGCCGCCAGTGGGGGCTGCGTGGGGTGTGGGCCCTGTGAGAGGGGCGGGCTGCCTGCCCACGAGGGCAGAGGGCTGGTCTGGGTCTGTACAGCCCCTTCCCTTGGGGCCGGAACAGGTCTGCTGTGCCCCCCTCCAGGTGCGGACCCCAGGAGGCGCAGCAGGTGAGGGCTCGGGCCTGGTGGGGGCGGGCCCTGGCCGTGGGCGGGGCTGGGGCGTGGCCCTGGCGGGGCTGGGGGCGTGGCCCTGGCTGGGTGGGGAGTGACCAGGGCGGGGCCAAGGCAGGGGCGGGGCCTACCGTCTCCATGGAGTCGTCCACCGACAGGAGGGTCTGCAGGCGCCTCCGCTGCAGCATGTTGGTGAACTCCATGTGGATGGGCTTCATGGGCCCGGTGTAGCGCATGATCCAGTGCTTGTCGGGGTTGGGCGCGTAGTTGTAGCTGGGCGTGCTGGGGGCGGACACGCACGCGGCTCAGGCCCGAGCGTCCAGGCCCGGACCCCCGTCGCCCACCGGGGTCGAGCAGCCGCTGCACCGCTCGTGCAGTGAAAGGCCGCCCGCGGCGGGAAAGGGGTACCCGGCGTGCGGGTACCAGGTGCCAGACAAGGCGCTGCTGGCGTCTGCCCAAGGGTGGGTGTGCGCGGGCCTCTGGGCAGGGGCGCGTGTATCGGACAGGAGGAAGGTGCTGCAGCTGCAAATGGCCAAGTCCAGGCCGCCCCGGACACCGAGGCCCGGGTCGCGGCCTGGGGGGGGGGTGGCCTCCAACACCCCTGGAGTCGCCCTTCTCCCTGTTTGGAGGAGGGGCTCTGCTCTGCTCCACAGCCCTGCACCTGTGTGCTGTTTCCTTCCGTCCCCAGAGGGCCGTCTGGGGAGGCGCGAACACAGGATTTCCTTCTCTACAGAGGAGGAAAGTGATTCAAACGCGGCGCACAGGACAGCCACGTGGTGAGGCCGAAGGCGGCCAGGCCTGGGCCTCTGGCTAGCCCTGCGGTCTGAACTCCTCGTCACGAACCCCGTCCCTTTCACTAAAGCAGAAACGCAGGTCAGGAGAGTCGGGGCCTCCCGCGGGCTCGCTGAGTGGGTGGGGAGCCCGAGGACCCAGACTTCTGCTGGGCGACTGCTGTGGCCAGTGGTGCGTGACAGGTGACTGGCCGGCTGCCCCCAGGGGCCACCGGGTGGCGCGTGTCTCCTTTACTGCAACAGCCCAGTAGTGGGCGCTGTTTCTACCCTCATGTGAGAAAGGAGGAAACTGAAGCCCAGCACAGAGCGTGGACACAGCCGGACACTGCTGTGAGCTCACAGGCCTTGGCCAGTGACCCTCAAGTCCATGAGTGGGGACCCTGGGCAGTTGGAGTGGAAGGGGGTCACCCCCCATCAAGCTGCGCCTGTCAGCATCCACAGGGCCCCCAGCGCCGGTGCCGGACTGATGGGGTGAGGGGGAGAGATCTGGAACTCCACCCGCACCGGCCAGGCAGGGCTCCGTCTTCCCACCCCCCATTGTCATAATTAAACATCCCAGCTGCAGAACTTTCTGGTTTTTGGTTTTGTTTTGGAAATGATTATACCCCAGAGATAAGTGAGCCTTCCAAACACACCCCTAATAAGGCAAGGGGTTCTCCGGGTAAGTAATAGCAGGCGTTGCTCATGTTCAATTTCTGTAATTTTCATTTCAAAGGGAAAATAAATGAGCAGGCAATGTCAAACAACCTCATCACGAACTCCAGGGCTGCTGGAGGTGGGGGCTGCTGGAGGGGACACCAGCTGCTCTTTTAAAGGAGAAGTCGCAGGAGCCAAGTGAGCCCCCGCCCAGGGCTTCGGCTCCTTCCTCAGGAGGCTCTGAGCCCGCGGAGCCCCTTCTGCCCAAGGGACCGCGCGGAGGTCACTGCGGTCCCCGGAAGGCCGCTCCCTTTCTGGGGTCCTCTCCCAAGGAG